TTTCACTGGGACGCTGTTCAAGCCACATGCAAGCCGCTATGTGCCATTGTAGTCATCAACTGGTGTGGCATTCCTGGTCCATACAAGGGAGTTTTACTGTAAGCATGCCTGGCCCCAACCAGGGCACGATTTGAAACAGAATATCGGGATCCAGTGTTCGTTTTCCGGGAAGTTGCTTAATTGGTGGCGAGTGGAAGAGAATGAGGAGGGAATGACGGAAGCCAGGACGGAGGGAGGTGTATTCGTACGCCTGTCTGTCTCCATGACGAGGATAAGGAGGATAAGGGGGATGAGCACGAGTAGGAGGAGGAGGAGGAGGAGGAGGAGGAGGAGGAGGAGGAGGAGAGAGAGGAGGAGAACGAGCAGGAGGAGGAGGAGGAGGAGGAGGAGGAGGAGAGGAGGAGGAAGAGGAGGAGGAGGAGGAGATTAGGAGGAGGAGCGGAGGAGGAGGATGAGGAAGAGGAGGAGGGAGGAGGAGGAGGAGGAGGAGGAGGAGGAGGAGAGGAGGAGGAGGAGGAGGAGGAGAGGAGGAGGAGGAGATGAGGAGGAGGAGGAGGAGGAGGAGGAGGAGGAGGAGGAGGAGGAAGAGGAGGGAGGGAGGGAGGGAGGCAGGGATGGATGGACGGAGGGAAGGAGGGAGTGAGGGAGGAAGTGGGAGGACCAGTATGCCTGTCTGGCTCCACGTCTCCAGGAGGGAGCTGGGCCGCCCCGTCGTCCCCCCGCAGGGCGGCCGCAGCAGCCGCCCGCGGGACCCCCGCGCCGCCCCTGGGGCCGCCAGCGAGGCTGGCCGCAGTCCGGGCGAGTAGGAGGAGGGCGGGAGGGAGGAGGGCGGGAAGAGGAGGGAGGTAGGAGGAGGGCTGGAGGAGGGCTGGAGGAGGGAGGGAGGAGGGAGTGAGGAGGGAGTGAGGAGGAGAGAGGAGGAGGAGGAGGAGGAGGAGGAGGAGGAGGAGGAGGCGGAGGAGAATCAGGATAACGATGATGTTGAGGATTGCTGCTGCTGCTGCTGAGGAGGATGATGCGGAGGGGAGGAGGAGGAGGAGGAGGAGGAGGAGGAGGAGGAGGAGGAGGAGGAGGAGGAGGAGGAGGAGGAGGCGGAGGAGGAGGAGGAGGAGGAGGAGGAGGAGGCGGAGGCGGAGGCGGAGGAGGAGGCGGAGGAGGAGGAGGAGGATGAGGAGGAGGAGGAGGCCAGGGAGGGCGATGTTGTGTTCGGACGTTTCGTCCGCTCTCGGCGGGTCTCTCCAGCCCGTCCTTTCATATCCTGGTCTCTCCTATCCTATCCTCTTTCTGGAACTCCTCCCTTCTCCCCCCTCCGTCCTCTCGGGGTGCTTTCGCATTTTCTCAGGCGTTTTCGTCCGCTTTCGTCGGTTCTCCAGCCTTGGAGTGCTTTCCTGCATCTGCGCCTCGCCGAGAGCATTCCAGCGGGTGCTCGCATCGTCCCGAGTGGCCGCCCCGGAGCCCGAGTCGGGGTTTGCCTGAGGGAGTTTCCGAAGTTGGGCTCGGCAGTATTGGGGGTGTACGGCCACATGCCATCGTTCCCGCTCCCCCTCGGACTTGGTCGCCCTCGTTCGTTCGTCGCACAAGTGTGGCCAGATCACGGGAGGTGAGGAGCAAGACGAGCTCCTTGAAGTTTGTTGATGGCCTCTGGCAGGAGGAGTGGGACGCTTCCCAGCTCCTTTCGAGGTTCGGCCTGGGCCGAAGCCAATGAGGATCACAAGGCTTGCGCCTTCCTGTTGTTCGGGGCGGCCTGCAATGACGCCCGCTTCCGCAGTGAGCTGAACCGAACAGGGTGCTGTCGCTGCAGGTGCGTGCGCGCCAGCAGAGTGCACAATCAAGAGAGATGAGGAGGAAGGGGGGGGCGAAGGGGACGTCAGATGAGGGTGCTCGCCATTTTCTGCCAGCGGAGGTCCGTTTCGGGCACGGGAGCGTCAGAGATCCGATTTGGGACCTGGGTTCGATGAACAGATGATGGTGAGAACGTAGCAGGAGAAGGTGATGATGCTGATGGTGGTGTTGCTGCTGCTGACGACGATGCTGATGATGCTGATGATGATGGTAGTGATGAGTATGCTGATGACGAAGATGATACTGCTGATGCTGATGATGCTGATGCTGATGCTGATGTTGATGCTGATGATGATGCTGATGGTGATGATGCTGCTGCTGATGCTGATGCTGATGCTGCTGAGCATGGTGATGCTGACGATGGTGACTCAGATGCTGGTTGTCATGACGATGCTGACGATGACGCTGTTGTTGATGATGCTGATTGCCATGATGAGTGTGATGATTACGACGATGGCGACGATGCTGCTGGTTATGACGATGGTGATGCTGATAATGGCGATGCTGATGATGCTGTTGATGATGATGAATATGATGCTGCTGCTGAAGGTAATGATGATGAGGTTTCTGCTGCTGCTGCTGATGATGATGATGCTGGTGAGGATATGCTGATGCTGGTGATGAAGGCGATATGTGGGCAACGAGGATGGTGTTGGCGATGCTGTTGACGGCGATGATGATGTGGCTGCTGTTGGTGATGTGGTGGTTAATGGTGCTGCTGCGGCTGCTGATGATGCTGATGGTAATGACGGTGGTGTTGGCGATGGTGATGTTGACGGTGATGCGTGATGCTGGTGGTAACGATGATGCAGATGACGACACCGGTGATGGTTCGGATCGTCCTGCTGCTGCTGATAGTGTCGTTGATGATGATGCTGATGCTGATTACGATAGCGCTGACGATGACGATGCGAATGATGACGATGTTGATGCGGATGCTGATGATGATACTGCTGCTGCTGCTGCTGATGATGATGATGATGAGGTTGACGTTTCTGGCCAATAATGATGCTGATGCAGATGATGGTGCTGATGATTCTTCTGGTGATGATGAGGATGCTTACGATGGTTATGCTTGTTACGACGAAACCGACGAAGGTGATGCTGATGACGCTGATGCTGATGATTCTGGCGATGATGATGATGATACCGATACTCATGATGCTGATGCTGATGATACTGATGATGATGTTGATACTGATGATGATGGTGATGATGATAATGATCGAGGTGGTGATGATGCTGATGGTGATGCCGATGAGGATGGTGGTGGTGATGATGGTTATGATGATGACGATGCTGATGATGATGATGTTGCCGGTGATGGTGATGATGTCGGTGATGATGCTGTCGGTGATGATGATGCTGATACTGATACCGCTGATGATGACGGTGATGATGATGGTTGTGGTGATGTTGCTGATGATGCTGATGCTGCTTATGATGCTTAATCTTATGAGTATGATTATGATGATTCTGGTGATGGTCACGATGTTGATGATGCTGATGTTGCTGTTGCTGATGATGATTATGATGCTGCTGATGATGATGATGGTTCTGCTGATGCTGAAGCTGCTGCTGATGACGAAACTGACGTTGGTGATGATGATGCTGATGCTGATGATGCTGCTGCTGCTGATGATGATGGTGGTGGTTGTGGTGAGGATAATGATGATGATGATGATGATGATGATGATGATGATGATGATGACGATGATGACGATGATGTTGTTGATGATGATGGTGATTCTGATGATGGTGTTGATGATGATGCTGATTATGATGCTGGTGATGACGATGTTGCTGGTGATCATGCTGATGATGCTGATTCTGAGGATGATGTCCATGATGCTGCTGGTGATGATGTTGCTGTTGATGGTGATGATGCTGATGATGATGATGTTGCTGATGATACTGATGATGGTGAGACTGCTGCTGCTGATGCTGATGATGATGAGGAGGATGGAAAGGACTGGCAGGGAAGAAATGCAGGGTGTCGGAGAGTGGAGGGGCGGAAGGCGGGTGGAGTGGGGGGAGGATCGGATGGAGGGGGAGTTTGATGGGGGAGGGGGTGGGGAGAGTGGAGGGAGGGGAGACGGGCGTGATGCGTGATGGAGGAGGCTCACGCAGGGGAAGGGTGGTGGATGGAGGGAGATGGGCCGAAGGGGGAGGGAGATGGCATGAATGGGGGAGGGAGGGAGGAAGGGAGGCAGGGAGGCATGGAGGTCGAGGGAATGCATGGGCCAAAGTACCTCATGCCTCCTGCCGCCTGCTTCTCCATTCCTCCTGCCTCCTACCGCGCCCTACTTACCTCCTGCCTCCCGCCTCCCCCTCCCTACCTCCCTCCCTCCCTGTCTCCGCCCCTCGCCTCCTCCTCCTCCTCCTCCTCCTCCTCCTCCTCCTCCTCCTCCTCTTGGTCGTACCCCTCCTCCTCTTCCTCCTCCTCCTCCTCCTCCTCCTTCTCCTTCTCTTGGTCGTACCCCTTCTCCTCCTCCTCCTCCTTGTTCTACTCCCTTCCTTCCCCCTCCCTCCCTTCCTTTCTCCTCTTGCACTCCGCAGCGATTTTGGCTCAAGCCATTTTGGCTCGAGCCAGTCTGGCTCAAGCCATTTTGGCTCGAGCGTCGCGATGCTGCACGGGGCCGCCGCTGCTGCTCGCGTGGCCGCGGGGGGCTGCCCGAGTGCGCGACGGCCCAGCGCCCTGTCCGCGCTCGAGGCGCTCGCCCCTCGGGCCTCGGGCCGCGCGGCGTGCGGCGCGCGTCGGGCGCCAGCGCGCGAGGCGAGGCCGCGCTCGGGGGCCTCGTCGGCGGTGGCGCATCCCTGGCATCGCTCGGACGTATGCATTTTTCCTTCGGCGAGGACCATTGAGGAGCATCCTCGATCATTAGGCGAAAAAATCCACGCACGAAGCCGAACAAAGCACATGAAATGGACGTCCGAGCGATGGCCAGTGGCGCCTCCGCTCCTGCAGGGCGGCGCGACCGCGAGCAGGCGGCGTGTTTTGAGTACCCCTCGGTTCCGGCGCACGTGTTCTTGGAGCGGTGCTCCCCGCGTGGGTTTCGGGGGCCCTCGGGTCCCTCCTGGTCTCTCCCCCCGCTCCTTCTCTTGCCTTCCCTCTCGGGTGGCGCGGCTGCGAGCAGACGACACGCCCCGCCTCGCAGCGTCGTGCGGGTGACCACCGTGTGCCAAGTCGTGCACGCCGCCGCAGGAGCGCGGCGTAGCATGCGGCCGCAGCTCCTGAAGGCGGCCTTGCTCGCGCCAGCGACGCGGCCAACGCTCGGGTTGCTGCGGGCCCCTGGCTTGAAGATGTGGTATTTGCCGTTCCAGTCGTTCATCCTCGCTTCCTCTGGGCGGCAGGTGGAGCTTCTGGCGAAGAAGGTGGTCATTCCCCGACCGCGCTAAGGGCGTCGACCGCCGTGTTCACGCCAGGGCTGCTGGCGCACACGGGTATCGACGTGCTGCTTCAGGAGTTGAGCGCGGGGCATCCGCAGAACTCAGATCCTCTCGTCGTCGGAGTTCGCCTTCTTGCAGTGCTGGAGGAGTCCGAGGTGGAGTCTGACGATCCCGAGGGTGCCGCAGGAGGATTTTCGGGGACAAATTAAAGATAGTCGAACATATGCAAAAACGGCAACAAATGCTAAACACATCGTCCCCATACTATTGTTTTGACAATTTTTAAATATTCCTCCCTTAGAGGGACAGGCCCGACTTAACCTCGCCTCGCCTCGCCTTCTCCTTTTCCCTGTCTCCGTCTTCGCCGCTGGCTGGCTCGTGGCCGTCGTTGCCCTCCTTCCGGAGGGCGCGGCAGGGCGCCCTCGAAGGAGGAGAAGAAGCGGCCCCAGGCAGCAGAAGCGCGGCTTGACGGGGCACTCGGGCCGAACGAGAGGAGGAGGAGGAGGAGGAGGAGGAGGAGGAGGAGGAGGAGGAGGCGGAGGAGGAGGAGGAGGAGGAGGAGGAGGAGGAGGAGGAGGAGGAGGAGGAGGGTGGAAGGCCGACGAGGGCCGTCGCAGAGGTGGACCCGGGGTGGGGCGAGGCCTCGCCGCAGAGAGTCTGCGCCGCTTGGTGAGCGCAGGCCGCCCTTCTCGGGCCGAACGAAAGGGGAGGAGGAGGAGGAGGAGCAGGAGGAGGAGCAGGAGGAGGAGGAGGAGCAGGAGGAGGAGGAGGAGGAGGAGGAGGAGGAGGAGGAGGAGGAGGAGGAGGAGGAGGAGGGCCGTCGCAGAGGTGGAACCCGGGGTGGGGCGAGGCTTCCGCCGCAGAGAGTCTGCGCCGTTTGGTGAGCGCAGGCCGCCCTTCTCGGGCCGAACGAAAGGGGGGGATAGGGAAAGGGGGGCTTACGAAATCTGCTGCATGCAGCTGGTTTCGGCCCCGCCGCCGGGCCCACTCCTCGATGCATGGGCGCCTCCCGGCGCCGGGGGGCGGCGGGAAAATCAGCTATACGTGAGCTGATTCTCCCCCCCCCCCTTTGCTATCCCCCCCTTTCGCCCGGCCCGAGAGGCGCAGCTTGCTGGGGCACGCCAGCTCCCGCACGTGCGGAGGGAGAAGGGAGCGGTCTGCTCTTAAGGTCGGGCCTGTCCCTCTACAGGAGGAGTATCAAGAAATAGTCAGGACATCGTCTGGGGACGCTTTTTGGAGTATTTGTTGACCCTTTTCGAGTATTTTTGGACTATGTTTAGTTTTCCTCGGGAATCCCCCTGGAGGGGGACAGGCCCGACTGAAGTCTGCTCCGCGTTGCCCGCCTCCAGGGCGGCCTGCGGCGGGAGCGAACAGCCGGTGCTAAGAGTGGAGCGGCGGGCAGGCCCTGCTGGCAAGAGCGCCGCGGCCTCCTCGACAGAGCGCTCCGCCTCCACGTTTGTGGAGGACGATCGATGGAGAGGACGCGTGCTGCCAAATCATCTCCAGATGTCTAAAACATGTTTCATACATGCTTTAAATCTGTAAAATTGTTTGAAACGTTTTTAGAACAGGTTTCACACATTTTCATCACATGTTCAACTCAATGATCGGATTGTTAGAGTGTCCATTGTCGTAGCATCCACGACTCTACGTCGACTGGTTTGGGGGCACAGAGCTGGCCCCCGAAACCACGCGCAGCAGGACACGATCACGGCCCTGGTCAGGGTAGTGTCCAAGAGGGCGCCTACCCTCAGCAGCTTCGCCTGGGAGCTGCTCTGGACACGGGAAGGAAGCTTCGCCGTTGAGGTCAGCATCCCCCTCACAGTGACAGGCTGGAAGCCCACCTCGGACGGGTGGACTTGGCAGCGCACAGGGTTGGAAGACACGATCATCGCGCTGGACCGCGCCAGCCGAGAATGGAGGAGACCCAGGCCGCTGGGGCCCTATTGCGTGAAGCATGGCGCTACACCCAGAGCGACAGTTTCATCAGGTCCAAGCGCCGCGACGCGCCCATCATCAGGCAGAACGGCGTCGGCTGCAACCCCCTTCGGTTCAGGGCCGTGCTCTGGTGCTGCGACGAGAGCCCCGGGAAGGCGATGAGGGTGCTGGCTGGCGCCGTCGTGCCGCCCTTGTGCAATGCTGCCGCCAGGGGAGACTCCAGCCCGAGTACCTGCCCCTGGTGTGGTGCTGCGCAGGGAACACTGGACCAGCCAGCGTGGGAGTGCGCCAACGTGCCTGGCCGGCCGCCTGTGCGGCTCGCGGAAATGCTCCAGCGCAGGCTGTTCTGGCCGAGGAGCACCAGAGCGGTGCGGGAGGCGGATGCCAACGACAACATCTACTGCTGGGC